AATGGATTCTGTGTCAGTAAGGGAGCTGACCTAAAATACTTACTTTTAATGCTCTTTAACCAAGGAATACTGTCTGTCTTTGCCTAATTTGTGTAATTTCTTTAACTTTGCTGCCTTTTTGACTTAAAAAAATGTTTGCTAAATGCTGATCAATAATGTCTTTGTTTTGCTTCAGGTTTATAATTTGACATTTGTCAACTTGCTCTGACAAACATAAAGGCAACAAAGAACATATGTTTCAGGAGGTAGGCGCTTGTCCTTACTGTAATAGCTGAGCATAGTTTATGGTTCACTTTAATGGGAAGATGTGAATGGAAATGGCAAAAGAAGTGAATAATTGTCCTTACGTTTAGGTTTATATGATGGCTTAAGGTGGTTTTGGTCCGTTAAACAAAAGCTTAGAAACAGCTTTTACCAGTTTTAGACCTGACCAATGGTACAGAAATAGTAAGGCCCAGCAGCTGTCGCTGTTTGAGACAATAAACCAGTTTTAACTTTGACTGACTGCTGTTTTTACGGGTATGATAAGTCCTAGGTGTCGCTCCAGAAATGAAGCAAATTCCTGAAGATCTATCTCCATTTTCCTGTTGCGGACGTTTAAACCATTTATTTATTTATTTTTTACATTTTTCTGTGTCTCATAGGACAACTAGTTCAACAAACTAGTAATTCTGTATCACAAGCAAGTTCAAGGAACAATTTGCACATTTATCTCACCATTGGCTGGAAACTATTACAAAAATACTATCTTGTCACTTATTCATACTCTTTGGGTCTGCGCTTCATAATAAACACGATGAATATATTAAACGTGTCGAGCTAACTTATTTTTATAGGCAAACCTGTGAACTTTAGAGCTCGTCTGCATTAGAAAATATGCAGCAGTGTCCTTTGAGTGTTACGTTTTTGTCTTTTGAGGTTTGTTTTAATTGGCCAGCAGGGAGAAAGACAAACCTGTTTAACCACTCCACTTCTGCTATTAAAGTGTGAACAGTCAGAGCTTTAATTGGAGACTCTTTTATTTTTGTAGCATAATTATTGAATCCCTACTGAAGAATGAGGTTTCTCTGTGTTTTTGCAGAGCGTAGTTCGAATCTTTGACTGGTGCTTGTTGAGAGGAGCTAGTGCTATAAGAATTTTTATTTTTGTACATTTCTCTTCATCATGTTGGCTCATTTGTTTGCAGTGTGAAAATGTGTCACCCACTGTAAAAATAACCATTTTATGTGGATGTCTACACAAAAACTACTCCGGTTTGTGGCAGATTAAGCAATTCTGTTTTGTCCCTGTTATTTTGCAGAATAGGTGTAAGAATCTAAACAGCACTGAATTAAAAGAAATGTGGAGTGCGTACGTTTGATCAGAGGTCTTTCTTTATGGCACACAGATTTGTGGTTCTCTGTCTGGCATGCACTCTTCGTCATACTTTTTTGTGCTCTGTTATCTTAAAAAGAACAAAAATTATGAATTTTCAGAAATCTCTCACTGATCTGTCTCTTTTTAATTGATGTGAATTACAGGACTGACTTTTGTAAATCCTCCTTTCTTTTTAGACTTTTAAATGACACATTTCTTTTTATTTAGCTTCACTCTCACACCCAAACACTTAGCTTAAGTTCCTCAATTCATGCAGTTCAGACCCAGACTTTCATATTAATAATGTGAAAACTTCTGCTGTTGGACAGATGAGCTTATTTCAATCTGACATATTTGCTGTACAGCAGAGTTCATGGTTTACTCGTGGACAGCAGGGTGCCCAGATTCTGTTTTTTTTTATAAAACAAGCCCAAATAATCATCCTTCCACCACCATGCTTGACTGTTGGAATGAGTTGTTTGTGTTATAGCTGCATCTGATTTTCACCAAACGTGGCACTGATGTATTGCAAACAAACATCTTTACCTTAGTTTTGATGGTTTAAAATACTTTTTTTTTTTTTACAAAAGTCTTTAGTTTATTAAAAAAAAATTGCACAATCTGACTTTAATAGCTGGAATGGTTTAGTATAGGGGTGTTCTATCCTGGTCCTTTTTAAAGACCACTATATCTGCATATTTGAAAGGTTTTGTTGTACTAACATACCTTGAATGAATTTGTGATTAGCAGGGCCTGATTGTTGCTAAGTGTCAGGTAAAAAAAGACAATGTTTTTCGTAGAGGTGGGCGATTTATATCGCAGACATATTATCGTTAGGGTTGTGTATTGGCAAGAATTTGGCGATACGATACATATCATAACAGAGGGGTCACGATACGATATATCCCGATATATTGCGATACTGTAAGCAAGGCAATATTTTGCGATATATTGCAATTTTTTTGTCCAAAAATTCTATTCAATAAAAACCTCTTACTGAAAAAAAGCTAATATTCACTTACAATGCTTACATTGTCTCCTACAATGCTAATGCTACCCTTACTCTCTGGCACTCAAGAGGTAGAGGAGCCAAATGGCTGGCTCACTGCTGCCAACTAGTGGTCAGAGGCTGAACTACAACATAAAAATGAACGGTTGGCAAGAAGGTTGACATTTTAAACCTTAATTAAAAATCGATACAGGGCTTTAGAATATCGATACAGTATCGGGAAATGAAATATCGCGATTTTCATTGTATCGATATTTTCTTACACCCCTAATTATCGTCCATGTTGCTTTGAACATACGCAAATTTACATTGAGTATTCATACTGTCTCAGACAACAAATACAGTGGTGAAAGACAGAGGCATAAGTCCCCATTCGCAGAATATTTGCCACAGAAACCAATCAGTTCTTTGTTCACTGATAAACATTAACGTTTACCCCCTCATCATCGTCAGGAGAACATCGCCATGTTCTCCAGGAGACTGTGTTTCAAATGTTTTTGTAGTTTATCATATCCATAGATGTCCTAGTTAGAAAGCAGAGTTTGACAGCATGTATCTTTTTTTAAAGAAAGAAGGAAAAAATCAGATTATCAATATCAGAAAATGAAAAAAATGAGATATTTATTTTGTCTATATCGCCCAGCCCTAGTTGTTTGTTGATTTTTTTAAAGAGTTTATTACAGAGAGAGGTCATGCAGAAAATCCCAGGAATTAGACAGTTCCAGGTGGCAGAATCTAAGCTAGGATTGTGAGAGAGTGTCTTTTTGAACAAAGCATATCACTGAAGTGTAGATAAGCCCAACCGTCTCATCATTACTGGAAGGCCGTATCACCTGGAGGACAGCATGACCTAACATCAAAGTGTCAACAGATAATGCACTCTACATGACAATTATGTTGCCTCTTCTTCTGAGGACATCTCAAAAGACCCATCAGAAAATACCTTTTGCCCTTCACACTTGGATTTTTCATTTCATTTAATGTTTATTGTGGAAATAGTGAGGGTTTTGACACAGTTTTTTTTTTGTTAAATAGGAAGAAAAATATGTAGAATATTAGTTTAATGAGCCAAAAGGAGAGACTAGTAGCACTTTTCCCTCAAGGTGTGTGCAGATTTAATTATTATTCATGGTGGTTATGAGAAATCATATCTAGTTGTTGTTTGTTCAGGGTGAAGGTCTAACAAGGCTGCCTTTAGTTTATCAAATTCCAGTTTGTCCATAATCATACAAGTTACATAACTTTAAATAAGTTGATTACATTTAAAAATCCAAATGTGAACGCTGCACTGAACTGAATTGTTGTATTGATTGCAAGACTGTGTATTTGTCCCCATCTGTTTTATTACATGTGTTAAAACCAACTATTTAACCTGGATGTTGCTCAGCAGTGACTGTATCAACATCAGCAGTTCATACTCATAACTGCTGCGTTTGGTTTGCTCTCATTCGCTCCTTCTCTCCTCTGCTCGTGATCCAGACTTGGACCAGAAATGCTCCAAAAGTCAGATCTGTTAGGCAACAGCCCAGGTTTTGGGTTTTTGACAGGGCTCCTCCTTTTCTTATCCTCTGTCAGCACTTCTCACACGCTCAGGCTCACGATGAAGATTAGAAAGAATCGGTTATGTTTGAGTGGTTTCATGGGAAGTTAATATGATGAAAGTACGTTTTCTTTTATCGGGATTAAATGAGTCAAGTTCCTCTTACAGTTGTTTCACTAAGACGGTGCTGAATTTCTCACCACCCTTTTTATGCCATCCACTTTCAGTCAACATTTAACATTTTACATTTGTGTAGAGAGATGTCTTGTGTCGTTTGTTATTCATTAATATGTTCATTTATTTTCTGTACCTACCTGACGTTATGAGGAAACAACAAATTGAGTTTAAGTTTTTTTTTTCAAAAAGGTAAATTGAAAGTAAAACGGCTTTTCCTCCTGCTCTTTCCCCCTCATTGTTCTCATCACTTATTCGTGCTGTATTTAGTTGCATTTTTAAGACAGATGTTCAGTTTCCTATTGCAACATCAGCTCAGATTTTATGGGCCCAGTCCAGTTTATTTCTCTTTTCTGAGTTTGTGTCCAGCTCTTGCTGTGTTGCCAAACACAAGTGGTTCCTGCTGTCGTGGTTAACAATACATGAATTCAATTCTCAGCTTCAGTTGCTTTTCTTAAAACATATCAGTAAAAAAACAGTGATTTGAGTATTATATAATGTGGTAGTATTTACTCTGTTTCTAAGGTTCAGATACATATAGTGATAAATTGCTGTTTACTTTTCAGTATTGTTGCATCTTTGTCTGAAACTTATCAGATTAACATCAAAGGGAGCAGAGATTAATTCCCGGTGCCTGAGCTGGGATGAATCATTTATGTTTCTTTTCCTTCCACGAGGTTTTGAAGGTGATCCTGTGGAGGACCCATCTGTGCCTTGTCAGGTTTTAAAGGGCAGCATTGTAGACCTGATTCTTGCCCTGAGGCTTGACCTAGAATGGCAGCTCTCAGTTCCACTGCCTCCAGCCATTTATGTGTCTGTAGACACACATTTGTGTGTTTGTCTGTGTTTTATGTGAAGTTAACCATTTACTGGTGCATGTTTTGACTGTAAACCTTTGTGATTTTTTTCCCCTCCACACAGAGCCACCATAGAGGAAGTGGAGGGGGAAGTGTGTGAGTTGGAGTCCAAGCTCGACAAAGTGAGTACCACCCATGAAAAACATTGCTTAATTGTTCATTTGGTCCACTGTGTGAACCGGTGGCTGCAACGGACACTCTGTGAGTGGGAAGGTGCAGGTTTGTTCCTGCCCTCATTCTCACTGTATTCTCTGGAAAGTTGTCTTTTGGAAAAAGTTAAACATAGACACGGTGCATCTAAAAATATGTAGGTTTTAAAATGCTTTAAACATAAACAGCCCCTCAAATAACACTGTACTGAAATCAAACAGTTATTTAGTTTAAGGGGAATCACATTGAGACACAGATCACTTTTGTAAGGGAGGCCTGGGCCTGAAGACAACCTAACACGTGTGATTTTTAAACTGTGGGATAAAATTACTCTGAGAAAACGAGCGCGAGGAGAACATGCAAGCTCCACACAGAAAGACTCCAGGTCCGACCCAGAGATTTGAACCCACAATCTTCTTGCTGAGAGGCATCAGTGCTAACCACTAATCCATTTCACCTCAAGCTAACTTGCATTTGCAACATGAACCGATGACTGGAAAATTCGGTGGTTTGAACAGATTACATCTTTTTCTTGGCCTGCAAGCTTAGCTTGTGTCCAGAAACAATTGTTTTATCTTTTCAACAAATACCTTTTGTAATCTGTTTATTAAGAATGAAAGAAAGCAAGTAAAAACAGATACTTGTTGTGGTCTTGACTAGGGTTGGGCATTTTCTGGCTTTCCTCTTTACCCACCGCCTTCCACCATTGGGCTCACATGATGCAGACCTGATGGTGAGAGTGTGTCGTACACAAAAATACCTCATCACATGACACTAATTGCATTTAATTGCAAAGTGGCAAATATTAATTGACGGTTTTTCTGAAGATTAATTGCATGCAGAACGATTTTGCCCAGCCCTATTCTTGACCAACTGTATAGAAAATAGGTGCTCGTCATATCTACCTGTATCTTGTCTTTTTTATTTTCCTTTTTTTTAAGCGTTAAAGTACGATGATAGTGATGGAGTGAGAAAGAGGCGGATGTAGTGCTGGGCGCTATACCGTTTTGTACCGAATACCSGTTTTTATTKTTGTTATGATATGAATTTTTTGAAWACCGGACATTCYGGTTTAAATAGCGGAACGTTTCATCGCGGCCGCCAGTGAACTGTTGTTTCCCGGGGGACATTTTTCCTTGCTGCACCGCTATGTGCGTTAGCATGCTAATGTTTGGAGCAGCTAGTTGCAGCCGCGGGTGGCGATTCCGCTGCTTATATTGACTGATGTTTAAAAAACATCCCGTTTTCGCCGTCGCTGAATGTAGTAAACACCTCATCAGTGACGTGCACAGTTAGATTTAACGCGGTTAGTTAATATGGAGACGTTATACTGATGGAGACTTAACGTGGTTCTATTGTGAAAAGCCCGCAGGAAGTAGTTCGTAGTGGAGTTAGAATTGACTGGTGTGCAAGGTGAGTCGTGCTGATAAGCTTTAATAAATAACATAAAATAGACCCGATCATAATCTTTTCTTAACCCTCCTCCTTCACAACTGGACCAAAATGCATGACTACTGTCTCCAACCACCAGTCAGAGAAGAACAGACACAGAGGAGGGAAACAGAGACACAGACAGAGGTACAGTAAAAGAAAAAAAAAGTCAGTAAGCAGGCATACATGTCAACCTCTTCGGACGTTTACTTGTATAAAAAGCCTCAAAAATCCGTACAATTCGCACGGGGGTGGGGGTGGGGGGTCTGTCGGCTGCGGACATGAAAACGCCCGCTGAGCAGCAGGAGGAGAGGAGAGTGGAAAAAGTTCAAAACTTATTTCTAGCGGCAGAACAGGTTAAAAGATGGCTGTCTTATGTTCTTTATTGTTTTTTTATCATCCTATAGGCTCTGACATGTTAGATAAATTTGAAAATCAGGTTTTGAAAAAATCCGTAAGACTTGAAAAAATCTGTGAGATTGCTCTATACGTCTGTATACCTGCAAAATGACGTTAAATCCTTATAACACAGACAATCTGTACAAGTTGACATGTATGAGCAGTTTTGTACATTTTATTATCAGCTGAGCTGTGATGAAAAGAAAAATAYCGTCAAATACCGTGAAACCGGTGAAAATGTTGAAAATACCGTGATATAAAATTTTGATCATATCGCCCAGCCCTAGGCAGATGCAGATTTTGTCACACTGGTGTGGTTAAAATGTTGAAACATCTTGCTTCCTTTTGATGTGGCAACTGCTTTTGACTCAGCATTTCTCAGTATTCACAATCATCCCCCTTCCTGCTGTTTGTAATCTGTACACTGAAGCCAAACTTTGCTTTTTTGACCAACTCTGCTGCAAAATTTTACCTGTAGTTAAAGGGGCCAGGTTAGCTGTATCACCCTGAGCATGTGAAATAAACATATTTGTTATTAAATTGTTCTTGAATGTTACAAACATGTAAATGCTTCAGGGAAATACAAAATATATAAAGTATAATAAATTCTCTAAACCTTTCTTTGTATTTACATTTGTCTCTCACAAAACTGAAGCTGAGCAAATTTAACCTTTCTTAGTCATTATGTGTTAAATATGGAGTCCTGAGTGTTTTCAGTTCCTTTACTGCAGGTTTCTACATGAGAACTGTTTCTTTTTTTAATTGAAAATAAAGTCAGAGTTTTTTATTGATTATATTATCAATCCGTCTGTTCTGCATAATAAGCTAAAGCAGAGGAATAACCTAAACCAACAAAGTGCACCCTGCCCTGAAAGCAAATAGGTCCTCCTCTCCCCCCGGCAGATCCCTGCAGAGTTGAAAGTCTGTTCACCAGCTGAGAGCACGGCCTTGAGTTTTGGAAGGACCCACTTCATTGTTCCTGGACTCGCAGTCTTCGAGTCCCACCGTCATCCTCACTCCACCTCTGTGACTCAGCCCCGGCCTTACTTCCCTCCTCGCCGTGGAGCAGGGAGGATCTGCCAGGGAGTGGGCATGTTGGCGTGCACAAGTACAGCTGAGAGAGTGCGCATGTGTCACCCGAGTTCTGGGTGGAGTCGGGACCCAGAGTGACCAAAGTTCAACTGTTTTTATTTATTTTTGTATCTTCCTATGGAGCTGGTGGTTTGCTTGATCCGTACACACAGATATGTTGAATAAAAAGTGAACGCAGGTTTGAGAGCGCTTTAAAGGCTTTATTCTAAGATAATGGGTAAATAGAAAAAGAAAAAACATTTACTAATTATAAAATTATTCTAAAGATTTTCAAGTTTCATTATAAAAAGAAGTATTTTTCTTAGTGTTTATTCACATTTTGCAAATGATCATCTACTGATAATGAAATGGCGTCACAGATTTCTGCATGTATCTGTAAAATATGAAATAATTACTCAAAAACAAATATATCTCTACATATAACTGCAATCACTGAAGATGTTTTGAGTTATTTAGGCCTGTAATACACATTCAGCTCCGACATCTTCAGTTTGGGCGTGGAAAGACGAAGTGCTGCCAGATTTTGGAGATTACATATCGTCGAATTAGCTTTGCTTCTTAACTTCCACAAGAGGAAGAAGAATTTGTTGTTCATCAGCCAAGAGGCTGAATCAGCACCAGGCGGTTTGTTTTCAGTCATAGTTTTTCTCCATATCTTTAGTTCTATAATCAGTTTTTACCGGTAAACTGTAGTTGAACCTGTTTTTAATCACTAAATCCTATTAAAACATTGTAAAACAAACCTGACTGAGCCATTCCTTCTACTCAATATGTTTCTTTCTGCTTTTTTTCCTGTTATTATGTTTTCTGTAAAACCCTTCGGTGACTGATTAAAAGTGAATGTTTTTCTATATTTAAAAGCATTAATTGAATCAGAAGCAATGAGAAGTATTTCTTCTTGTTTCTGTTTGTCGGTTATGTTCTGTCATTAATCTGTAATTAATCCGTGTCCTGGTTTCTGTCCTCAGTTGGTGAAATTGTGCATTGGGATGATCGATGCTGGAAAAGCCTACAATGCAGCCAACAAGCAGTTTGTGAACGGGATCCGGGAGCTCGCCCTGCAGTCTGCCAAAGATGAGGTCATTGAGGTAAACAAGAACTAATTCAGCTTGACCTAGACCTTAGAAAGTCCCCAGCTTTGGTGTTTCGTTTTGTTTCCTCTCTTGCTGGTGTCGGTCAGGGTTCCATCAGCACTTTGTGAAACAACTATAAAGCCAAAGCAAATGGTTTTTTACGTACCAATCGTTCTGTGCTCTCCATAGACTTGAATAAGATCACTAGACTGAGCCCCACCCATTCCCTCCACTGGTATCGTCTGTGACAGCATGGAGGAGCAGAAATGGCGTCCAAAAAGGGCAACAGCTTACAGCCACCATAGAAACTAATAGATAAACAGCAAGCTGAACTGGATCTGTTTCACAGATTATCTGTCATGTTTTTACAATAAATTAATAACTATGTTAATTTCATTCAACAATCATGTAAAACATCAGATTTATACCAGAAAAATATACAATGATCTATACCAGACCTGAAGTCAGCCTGTAACTTAGACTTTAGCTAGCTGAAAAATGATGACTTCAGCTAGTAATAAAGTATATTTATTATTTCTTCTTACTGTCTTAAAAATAATAATATTTATATTTACCAGTCAACAGTTAGAAAATGTTCTCTGGTTATAGGATGAAACTTGTCTCTATTAGCTAACCATCTTCTTAACAGGTCAGGTTCCTCTAACAGAAACCTAAAAATACTCACATTTATAATATTATTTTACACTCTGTAGGTCTAAATATTAATCAGACATTTATAATATTATTTTACACTCTGTAGGTCTAAATATTAATCAGTTCAGCTGTAATATTTAATAGTTTGTGTTAAATTGTAGCATGATTCAACAGTGCTAAGCTCTGTATACATGCTCCACAAGCTAATATCTGCTACCCAGTTCAATAGATAACAGTGTTTACATGGACTTTATAAGATTATTTTAATTTTAAACTGTTACATTATGTTCTGCTCAGATCACATTGAGCTAAATAAGATCAAATCTGCTGACTCGTGTTGTAAAATGAGACGTTTTCCTGTTTATCTTCTGTTAATAAATCTATAACACAAACAGCTTTTCTGATATTATTTAAATGGTAAATGGTAAAATGGTAAATGGACTGTACTTATATAGCACCTTTCTATCCATCCAGGACACTCAAAGCGCTTTACACTACAGACATTCACCCATGCACACACACATTCACACACTGATGATGGCAAACTACAATTGTAGCCACAGCTGCCCTGGGGCACACTGACAGAGGCGAGGCTGCCATACACAGGCGCCACCGGACCCTCTGACCACCATCAGTAGGCAAGGCGGGTAAGGTGTCTTGCCCAAGGACACAATGACTGAGTCGACTGGACGAGGATCAAACCGGTGACCTTCCGGTTCCAGGACGACTCCCCTAACCACTCTACCACAGCCGCTCCCATTTAAAACATTAGATAGATTATATAAACTGTAAAATATTAATAATAATTGGGTTAATATTATTATTAGTTTTTATGATTTCTACGTCGTCAGTCCTTTTTTTCTGCTCTGTTGTCAACATGTACAGTAATGGGAAATCCAGACTCTTGACCGTTTAGTGTTAGCCCTTAGCTTCTACAGCCGATCAACACGGTCACATGGTTTCTGCGCATTCCAGTTGTTCTATATAAACTCCTTGGTGCTCTCGTATTGCATCTCTTGAACGTTTAAGAAACATTAGAGCTGTTAAAACTCTTTATTGCCATCTTTGCCTTTATAAAGATTGTATATTTTGTTTTGATAAAACCTCGTCTTTTTAAGTTTATAATTCAACTCTTTCATGTAATTTAGCCGGAACAGTTCCTCCTTAGAGCACCATTTATTCCTCAAACAGACCAAAGTTTTCCTTTTAGTTTGTGGTTGGAGCATCACAAAGGATTTTGTGTGTCACCTCATTTGTACTGTATTTTATGCTTCGCAGTTATTCCCCCTTTACAAGAAAAAACTCCTCTCTCTCTCTGCCTGTACTCATGGCTGTCATCCCGTCTCTTCACAGTCCAGTCTCACGAAGTTCGCCGAGAGCCTTCAGGAGATGATCAACTATCACACGGTACGCTCCCCGCTTCTATGTGAAACCGGATGCGTTGTCGTTATTTTTCCCCTCTAAACTGCTGTGTGATGACAAAATCCAGATGGAGCAACTTTTTTAAATGTACTTCTGGGGGGAAAAAAATCAGCCACACTCCATTAAATCAAAAAGGGGGAGGCTTTAAAGAAAAAAGAAGTACTTCAGAAGCTTTGTCTCTGGTTAAATATGAAGAAAGTAGTTGGGGTTAAATATAGCATTGACAAATTTGAAGCAGGGTGTTCCTTAAGATTTTAAGTCGAGTCATTTTAAGAAGTGATTAAACAAAAGCTGTCATGGTAGCACTGCCTGTTGTGGAGCTCAGGAGTTTATCTGTTAAAATAAAGTGTGGTGATGGTCAATATTTCATGATGTGGTTATCATCTTTCAGAACTGGAACAGTTCAAGGCTTGAGAGTTGGTATTCAGGTTCCACCACGTACGTTAACACGCTCCAGTGTCAAACATTGTGTCAAACTCCACTGTCTCCACCGTCAAACATCCTTTTTGTTATCAGACTCTTCCAGCAGCCTGGTTAGATGCATTTAAACAAATCACTTGTTGTGAAGTCTCATTGTGAAACTGCTTACTTGTCAGTTTCAGATGGACATTAAACTGACATCTAGGAAAAGGAGACTTGTTTATTTTCAGTTTGCTCTCTCAGAGAAGAGGCACAGATCTGCAGAGAATATTCTTTTCTTGATCTTGTCTCATCTGTTAACGTTCTGCATCATTGTCCATTGTTCAAAACAACAACAAAAAAGCCATGGTTGCTTTTACTAAGAATTTAGCATTGGTTAAAATTATGTATCTTAGTTTTTAGGGTTGTTATTGGTCAAAGAATCGTAATAAAACTGAGAAATGATTTAGGACTTCAGCAGTTTGTGTTTTGTGTGTATGTGAGAGGGACATTTTCAAAACTGTTCATTTATTGGTAAAATTTGTTACGTTTCAAACCGGTTAAATTTCATGTTTTTTCTAAAAAAGCTTTGTGTCATTCTCATTGACGTGAAAAGCAACAAATGAGGCAATCCATCATGTTCAGAGGAATTATGCTTTATATGTTTTATGTTCATATATTAACTTTTGTAAATGCAATATCCTAGAGCAGTGATCCCAAAGTTGGGGTCAGAACCTCTCTGTAAGTCCTGAAACATCAAGGTGAGGTCTTGGAAAAAATTTCAGTGTTTGTTTGTTAGCATAGCCCTCAATTTAGAGATAAGTTTCTAACCAAATGTCATGAATGGCCGTCCAGAGATGTTGACTGGTTAACCAAGGTTTCTGAGACTAGATTGGGAAAATGAGCCCAGAGAACCGAGGTGTTTTTAGGAATATCGTTACTATGCCTTTGTGTATTTGACCTGATACAATTGTTTATCACCCAAATAGTTGTGAAACCAGGTCTCTGCTGGTGTTATTTTGAAATGTTAGAAAACCAGTGTGCTGGAGGGTAAATGTATCAAGGGCTAAAAGGGAAGTTTTTTCACAAATGGCACAAAGGTTTTTCTGCTTTCACTGAGGGTGTTGGTAAATTTAGAGAAAATATTCCAAATGTAGATTGAGGTAAGAAAATAAAAAGATAGCTGAAATACAAATACTCATTTTTTACTGCAAGTGTTTCTGGCCTTTGATCACTTACCTATTACTCATCCAGTAACACAAGAAGGGGCTTGGATTGTTTATTTTGAATTAGCTGGACTGGATTCTATACTAAAAGGATGTTGGCCAAGAAAATATGGAGGAAAAGTTAGTCTTGAGAGTAAAGAAATGAGTGATTTCAGGGAAGCTGGAGAAATTCCATAAAACCTTCAAACAAAGCGACTTCTTAAAGTTTGTTTGGGTTTCTACACCAGTAAAAAGAAAATATCAAAGATGAGCAAACCATCATGACTCAAAAGAGGCTTCACCGAGTGCCTGTCTTGGTTTTCCAGACTTAAGTCCCCTGGAAGTCTTCAGGAGCCACAGTGACAGTTACTCATCAGAGGGGACTGTGACCACATCAGCTGACTGTCTGATTGCTTTTTGCCACTCAGCGGTCTTTCAGCACATGATCCCCTGCGACACAGAGCTCAGTCTGTCCACCAGTGGTCACCTCTCTCTGCCACACTGCTCACATTGTTTTATCTCGCAACAAAATTGTATTGAAGCTCCACTTAAAGTGCTCCCCCCCCTTCGCTTTGCCTCTAATCTAATTTTTGAGAAAGCTTGCAGGTTAATGAGGCCATGAGTCATGAGGAGGCAAATCACGTCATTTCTTGTGTTTATATCTTTTATGAGGGGAGTTTACCAAGTCCGTGTGTTTGTGTAAATTTAGCAGCATAATTACACGTTGTCATGTCAACAAAAACTCTCCCAAACAGAGATGCAGAATGCTGACTGGCCTGGAAAGAAAATTCGTCAATTTTTTGTAGCAGTTATCACTTTCTCTTCTCATTTCACAGATATTATTCGATCAGGCCCAGAGATCGATCAAGACACAGCTGCAAACCTTTGTGAAAGAGTGAGTATCAAATGACTAAATCTTGGTGTCCTCTAAAGTTGCATAATAACACAGAGCACAAAGATGATTTCAGGACTTTTGATGCTGATTCAGAATAAAAACGAAAGTACAGAACTTGTTTATTTCCTTATAAGGATTAACAGTTTTTGTCTCAGGCACATAAAAGCTGAATGCTCATTAACACCCATAGAAATTATTTTCCCTCCACCTTGTAGCTCTCAAATGTAAAGAAAAAAAAACCTCACTGGATGAAAACATGTAGGGCACGCTGACTGACTTTTACAAAAGCCAGGTCAAGAGGGGTTTAAGCAAATACTTGTTGTTTTCACTTTTATGGACTTTAGGGGCATTCATAAAATGACCTTTGACCTTTTGTGAGCTACATTTTCCACGACTGTGCTCAAGGTCTTTTACAGTTAAGATAAGCATATCTTCCTGTGACAAGTCACCTTTATCCACAAAGTTGTTGTAGTAAGGAAATGCCATAAATTACTGTATTTCCGTAATTGTGTTGATGTTTTTGTATTTTTTTATCTTCTTTTGTAAGTTACACAAAAATCTTGGATAAAGGTGAGATTGGAGTCTTTTTGGCAGAACTCTTGACTATTCTGCTTGGGTTGTACATTTAGTAGAAATAGCCTAAAATTAGTCAGTATGTAAGGTTTTATTCACACCAGGAAAGTCCTTTGGTTGTTTGGTCCGGACCAAAAGTGGACTTTATTTATTTATTTTGTTTGTTTTGTGCTGTTTGCATTCACATTGTGCTTTTTTGCAAGCGGACTATAATTTATAAACAAAGCCACTTTGGTGACGGTCATTGAAATGAAAGTGGCAGGACAGAGCGCAGTCCCAGAAGGAAGATGGGGCTCTTAATACAATTTAAAATACAGTTTAAAATTTCAAGAGCAGCTCATTCAAATGAGGTTTCTCGATATTATACTTAAATATTGGGACGGCGCTGGCAAATGCAATGCCGCAACCCAAAGGAGACGAGATGCTCCACGTGCCCTGACCCACATCTCGGCTCATTGTTTGTCCTTACAAACAAGCAGGTGTAATGGTGACTCTGGAAGTCCAAAAAGACACAGGTGTCCTGTAGTGAGTTTGGTTCCAGGCTGGTCTATATTCACACCAGAGTCCGTTTGGAAGCGGAACATGAAACTGCTTCTGCACCTGTTACTCAACAGGTTTTTGCTAGCTTACTGAAGAGTGAGTGAGTTGATGCTACCAAACTTGCTTAGCAGAACCATGAGAAGTCGGGTGGCTAAAGCCTTTCCTCTGCCTACATCCCCCAGAATGCTGTGCGGATCTCGATCAGAGTTCAGCGAAATCGTCAGCATGCTATCGATGTGTTTTCTGATATTAATCACGTGTCTATCGTGATATATTGTTATTGTTTTATCGCCCAGCCTGAGTTTTATGTATGAAGTCTAAACCTCACTTTTAAAAACTCTTCACTAAATGGGACCATTTTCCGTTCCTCTTTGCAGTGACCTGCGTAAGTTCAAAGAAGCCAAGAAACAATTCGACAAAGTCAGCGAGGAAAAGGAGACGGCCCTCAGCAAGAACGCTCAGGCACCTCGAAACAAGCAGCACGAAGTGGAGGAGGCCACCAACATCCTGACAGCCACACGCAAGTGCTTCCGACACATCGTCCTCGACTATGTCTTACAGGTACAAACTGAATACTTTAGAACAGAAACACTATATTAAAACATGTGTTTGTAAAAGAAAAAAAACACGTTTGAGCTGTACGTTGTATTTCTGACAGTGGTGCAGGTAAATACAGCAACAGGTTGATGATAGCGTTAACATTGCAGCTAAAAAAAGCTCATGTTAAAATATTTTTGTCAACTTCTACATGAATATGAAACATAAAGCAATCGATCTAGTTAAAAATGCAAATGATTTCCCTTCATGGGATCAATAAAGTTTCATAAAGTTTCATTCATTTATTCAAATACCTGCGTATGTAGCTCTGTTTGATCCTGGTATTTTTGACGTTCATCTTTCTTGTTCATATAAATCACATATTAATGAGTTTAAACAAAAACAATGTATTTCTACCCTGAACGGGTCACTAAATATTGTTTGTTTTTTAGGATCCCCATTAGTCTCCTGGGGTCCAACAAGACATAAAAACCCATTAAGACAAATCAGAATCACATACTTTATTAATTCTGATTTGTTTAAATCAATACAACCCAAAATACCACAAAGCAAAACAGCCAGTGAAAACACTTCAAAACAAAACACAAGAAGACAAAAAGCACTCAATTAAATAACTTGTCATTTAAGACAAAAGATTTTGTTCATTTTTTTTTATCTAACATGATTAATAGGGCTGCAACAATACATGTACCCGTATCGAACCGTATTGAACAGTGCCTTTAGGTTCAATACACACTTGTATCGAACAATACAGATTTTTAAAATTTACTTTATCAACTTGTCTTCTGAAGATGCTCTGTGTTAAAGGATCAGTGGATCTGTGTTCGACTACTCCACCTAGGCTGCATTTTTGAGCACAGATCCACTGAGAAACTTGCTGTTTCAGCAACATTTAATTTAATTACTGTACTTTTGAGGTTAAACAAATGTTCATAATTATTTTAAATAAATTACAAGTTAAAAGGGGCATGGACATTTCTCTTTTTTTGTATCGAAAAAATATCGAACCGTGAGACTAAAGTATCGAACTGAGCCGAATCGTGAATTTTCTGTATCGTTGCACCCCTAGTGACTAAGGATTTTTTTTTTGTAGGAGGTAACATATAATAAGCAAATAGTAATAGTTATCAAAGAAAAACATTAATGGAGGACTTCATAAACCGTTACAACAGACACAGTGGAGAGACGTATTAATTTAGAAAATGAATCATGAGCTCTCGCCTACTAATGCTGATGCCAATTAATTTGCACATCGTTAAGACTCCCATGGGCGCCTACACTGATGGATAAATAAAGTAACTCTTACTGTCATATCATCTCAGATTACTCTGGGCAGCATCATGTTTGGGAAGGATCATGACTAATTAACTAATCCACTGAAAATAAGTAAAAGAGGAAACAAAAAAGGGGAAGAAGGGTACAAGAGAGCAACTGGAGCTTTTTTTTGTCCTCGTCTAGATTTCACAAGCTGGAACATATTTTACATGAAGGTCGTTAGGAGACAATCTGTAGACCTATTTTCAAATTAGGTTTAAACTGACCCAAGCTAAAATGAGAAGTATTAACAGATCACTGAATACGTGAGCTGTGTTTTTTGTGTCCTCTGAAGCAGCTCAGATAATTTCTTTGTGTTTCCTGATTAAGCAGCCGCCAGCTGTTTTGTTAAATCGTTCCTCAGAGGAACGCAGAACGCTCTGCGGCCCCAAAATCAGAAAAGAAAACAACTTTCCACATCAGCCCGCTGCATAATCACCTCCGTATAAAACTAGGCCGGACTGCAAGGAATTAGTTGAGTCTTTATCGCGCCTTTTAGTACGCTTACAGGAAATCTTTACACTGGCAGCTTGCTCAGCTGATTTAAATAGGTCTCCCTTAAAGTTTTGGTTAATGCTGTCAGCACTTTTTTTAAAAGCAGCTTACAGTTACAGCTGTGCTTTCAGGAAACGTCTAACATAAATTTTAGCTTTATTTTATGTTTCTTAGATTGTTCTGTGGCTTTTTTGTTTAATTACAGCGTGTGGTTAAAAAGGGCAAATCAGCAAAAGGAAGGGAAAAAAAACAAGCAAGGCTATTAACCTCACTTAGCTTTGACATTTTCAGAAAAGAAAACGTCTTGTACCGATCTGTCCACATAGAGGTAGAGGGGAAAAAAAAGGTAACCTTTACAGTTTTGTCACATGACCAGTAAGTTTTCACCTTTGACGGAGAAACCACTTGTATTTTGAAAAGCAGAAGCTGTGTAGACGTACAGACATGGTGTTTAAAACTCTTAACAAGAAGGAGGATATTCTGCTTCAGATATTTTTATTCATGTTTTTTAAGAGCTCAGAACCTCTCTAGAACCTAGAATTTGTCGAGCTTTTGGAAAGAGAGAGATTTGAAACTTAATTGTGCACCATCCTTTCCATCCCACAGGAAGGGATTTACCACAACTAAACATCCAATTAGTGACTAATTGACCGTAACTTTTGCTTGTGGCTGTAGTCTCAACTCCTTATTTCATTCTTCCAGTTAAAGTGCCGTCCTTCGGTGCTGCTTTAGTCACAACTACTAACAGCTTGTAATCAAAAGATGGAAAGAGGCTTGTAAAAGTCGTGATGCTTTAGTTGTTGTGGCTTTGAGGTTTAAAAAAAACACTTCTTTTGTTTTAGAAACAAACTGCCTCACATCTTGCAACCATGAAATTACTATTGACCACAAACAGGGAGTAAAGCAGCTGCGGTTTCAATCTTGGTCCATCGAGGGACGATATCCTGCAGGTTTTACTCATTTCTCTGCTCCACCTCACCTGATTCAATGACCAAATTACTTCTTTATGTTCTGCAGAAGCTTGTTAGAGTGTGTGGAGAACCTGTGTTTATAGCCACAAGATAACATGTCCCTGGACTCCAGAACTGTTCCTTTGAGTATTTATAGTAAACACAAGCATCACTAGCCCCATTAAGTGACTCTTGTCATAAAACAGTTGTTGGTTCCTTTCAGGTGAAAACTAGGGGTGCAACGATACAGAAAATTCACGATTTGGTTCGGTTCAATACTTTAGTCCCACTGTTGATATTTTTTTTGATACAAAAAAGAAAAATTTCCATGCTCTTTTAACTTTTAATTTATTTAAATTAAGTACGAACATTTGTTTAACCTCAAAAGTACAATTTTTAAATTAAATGTTGCTGAAACAGCAAGTTTCTCAGTGGATCTGCGCTCAAAAATGCAGCCTAGGTGGAGTAGTCGAACACAGATCCACTGATCCTTCAACACAGAGCATCTACAGAAGACAAGCTGATAAAATAAATTTAAAATATCTGTATTGTTCGATACAAGTGTGTATTGAACCTAAAGCACTGTATTGAACGGTTCGATACGGGTGCATGTAACGTTGCACCCCTAGTGAAAACATTTGGCCAGTATAAATGTCTTTGTTAAACATTCTGTTCAACATATTCGACTTCTGCAACATTAACAAATAACCTCCCCCCGGGCCTGATGAGCAGCACAGGCTGCTACACAGAGACACTAAAAGATAATGTTGGAAAAAGCCTCAACTGCAGCTTTGAATTGAGAGAAATTGAGCTCCCCCTAGTGTTCAAAAGATAAAGTGCAGCCAAGAAAACGTCAGTCTGACTGTAAAGATATTTTATTTGCTTGTTTCAATCCCACGTTACATTTTTTTCTCCTAAATCTCCCATGTTTTGTTTCTGCTTCTCACGGTTTTCTTTGTTGTTTCCAGATAAATGTTCTGCAGTCCAAGAAAAGATCTGAAATTTTGAAATCAGTGAGTCTGCCCTCTGATCCCATTAAAACAGAACGTGTCGAGCTTGTGAGGCAGTTAATAAAGTCACTGTCTTCCCTGCAGATGCTGTCCTTCATGTACGCTCATCTGACATTCTTCCATCAAGGTTATGACCTGTTCAGTGAGCTGCAGCCTCTTATGAAACAGCTGGGTGGACAGGTAAGAGCTACTTTCAACAAACATGCTGGTCAACTGTGTGAAGTAGTCAACACTTTATAAAGCTCTACTTCTGCGTTTATATTTAAGGCTTAAAGCGGTTTATTTACGGTTCAGTTTCTATATTTAACACCTTTGAAATTTTACAAGTTGCTCGTTAACATCACTTGTTGTAAGAAAACGTTTTGATTGGATAATTACTTCATGGGTGATTACGTTTCAGCTGACACATTATGTAAACCTAACTGATGCAGTGAGAAGCTTCTCATTTGTTAAACAACCATATTAAAGGAAACATCCTCTGTTCGTGGAAATGATGCTAATCTGTTTCAGAAGGGTCGAATTATTGCCATCGAGCAGAGAAAACATCAAATGAGTTTGCTGAAACTGCTGAAATCGAGTTAGGAACTGTGCGAGGAGGAAGGTCATGTGATCTGATGAGTCCAGATTTACCCTGCTCCAGAGGGATAGGAGCATCAGAGTGAGAAGAGAGGTGGCTGAAGTCATGCACCCATCATGCCCTAGTAGTAGTTTTTACTAATTAGCTTCATCGTTTTGTGTTTAACTTTGACTAAACACAACATCACGCTCCTTATCTCCTCACTACAGCTAAGCCCCTCTAACAAACAATAACTGAGCTCTACGTGGTATTTCCTGCATAGAAACAATGTTTTAAAACATTCTTTTATAAATACTGAAAATTTCTACGTGTACGACTGACTAAATGTGAAATAAATAATACTGAAATGCTATTAGAAGTAAAAATAAGAGTTTTACTCATTGTTGAGTTGTGGTGAGTAGCTGCCATATTGAATTCTGTACTCGTCCATTTTCCAACAGGAAATTCCCTCTGGAGGGGTTGTCCAGTTTAAATTCATGACTTGTAAGTGGGAAATTCCCACTTTCAGTTACGACTGGGCTGAAACAAAAGTAGCCAGCAAAAGTGCAGCAAATGGAGATTTTACACAGCAAATCTTGCAAAATGCAGGTTACTTTTGAATCCTGTGCACCTCCACCTTGCTGTGGTATTGCCATTTTGAGGGTTTATTTATTATTTTTTATTTATTTGCCATTATTTAACCAGGCAAGTCCCGTTGAGATCTAAGATCTCTTTTTCAAGGGCGGCCTGGGCCTGAGTGCGACCTGTTGTACATGTTTTGTGTTGTGGGGGAAACTGGAGTACCCGGAGAAAACCCACGCAAGCACGAGGAGAACATGCAAACTCTGCACAGAAAGACCCCAGGTCCGAACCGGGGATCGAACCCAGGACCTTCTTTCTGTGAGGCGTCTGTGCTAACCACTGAGCCGTCATGCTGCCAGGGTAAAATAGTCACAATGCATTATGGGAGATGGTCAATGCTGGCTTTAAAGCAGCTTATTTTAAGACACATCTTTGAAGCTCTCACGGGCCACATAAAGTGCAATGGTGGGCCACATTTGACCCACGGGCCTTGAGTTTGACACATGGGCCCTAGTGCCTCCGTACAAGCCTGTCTAATTTCAGCAACATTGAGGTCAGATGAATATATGAAGGACCAGGTTATTCCATCAATTTATTTTTCTTCCCTGACCTGATGGTTCAGGAAGCACGAGACTTCATTTTTATACATGGTTTGGTCACCACAGAGTCTAGACCTGAACTCCATTAAGAATTGTTGGGATGTCCTGGAGAAAACTTATGGCAGTGGTCTGAATCTCCCATCATCAACACAAGATCTTGGCAAAAACCTACAACTCTGGACAGAAATGAATGTTGGGACTCTGCAGACGTATGTGGAAACAACGCCACAGAGAATACTGGACCTTTTTTTTTGTCAGATAGTGTATAATACAATAACTGTCTTGTTTGTAAGGTTTTGTAAAATGGAGATGAACCCCTTGGATAATACTAGGGGTAGAGCTGGGTGATATGATCAAAATTTTATATCACGATATTTTCAACATTTTCACCAGTTTCACGGTATTTGTCGGTATTTTTCTTTTCATCACAGCTCAGATGATAATAAAATGTACAAACCCTGCTTATTGACTTTTTTTTCTTTTACTGTACCTCTGTCTGTGTTGCTGTTTCCCTCCTCTATCTGTTCTACTCTGACTGTGGTTGGAGACAGTAGTCATGCATTTTGGTCCAGTCGTGAAGGAGGAGGGTTAAGAAAAGATTATGATCGGGTTTTAATGTTTTATGTTATTTATTAAAGCTTATCAGCACGACTCACCTTGCACACCAGTCAATTCCAACTCCACTACGAACTACTTCCCGCAGGCTTTTCACAATAGAACCATGTTAAGTCACCATCAGCATAACGTCTCCATATTAACTAACTGCGTTAAATCTAACTGTGCACGTCACTGAAGAGGTGTTTACTACATTCAGCGACGGCGAAAACGGGATGTTTTTTTAAACGTCAGTCAATATAAGCAGCGGAATCGCCACCCGCGGCTGCAACTAGCTGCTCCAAACATTAGCATTCTAACACACAGCGGTGCAGCAAGGAAAAATGTCCCCCGGGAAACAACAGTTCACTGGCGGCCGCGACGAAACGTTCCGCTATTTAAACCAGAATGTCCGGTATTCAAAAACTTCATATAATAACAAAAATAAAAATGGGTATTTGGTACAAAACGGTATACCGCCCAGCACTAACTAGGGGAATCATTGAGTTGTGTTACTCAGTAAGGAGGTTGAAAGTCAAAGATAGAAAACACAAAAAACAGGAAGTTTATATTTTTTTCCATGTTTATGTTATAAAATGATTCATCATCATTCAGTCACTGAAGATGACTTTGCTGTTTAATGAAACTTGTTTCCTCCAGGCAGCCTTCACTCCCACATTTTGTTCACATTCCTTTGTCAGTATATATATATATATATAGTGAGCGTGTGTATGCCACAAACTTCACTAGCTGTGTGTGTGTCTGTGTACATCCTCTGATAAACAGAGCCCCTCCGAGCCAGAACGCAGCCCAAATGTGACTTTCAGATGATTATCACAGCGGAGCTGCTGTTACAGTCGGCAGGAATGAGGAAGAAACCAAAGTGGGACGGCTGGCAGAGGGTTTTCCCACAGGCAGACTCTCAGGGTTTGACAGTCAGCTGAGTGAAGGCGGCACAGAAACTGCAGATTGATGCTTGCACTTGAGGAACTTGAAGCTGTGAGATAGGCAGGAACCTTTCATTCTGAATGGAAGACAGAGAGGAAAGAAAGTGGCCACAGACTGGAGACTTGTAGCGTGCGCTCATAAACATTTTTGTGGCCTTTGAAATTTCTCAAAGAAGAACTATCTAGTGTATTTTTTTTACTTGATAGGAAGGATCTTATTGAAATCCAGATTGAAAAATCTAAAGCTGCAAATCTTTTAAATTTGATAGAACTGAAGATTAAGGTTTTTTTATCCTCACACTTCAAAACTGGAAACCTCTAATGTTCAGGATGTCTAGAGAGTGACTGAAAAAAAAAAGAGAAGGAAGACGAGACCAGCTTGGAAGGGCCGATCGCTGGGGGGCATAACTGACAGATAGAACTCTTCTCTAGGAGAAAGGGACTGGAAATGCATGGACTGTGATCTCAAGGCTGCAGAACTCAAAGGACTGAGCACAGATAAAACAAGGATTAATGAGGAAGAAGGGCGACGATTGGAAATCGCAGCTTTGAGACCCAGACCCTGAAAAAGTGAGGGGKGGGGGGGGGGTGGCTAAAAGAGGCGAGGGTTGGTTTCAAGCTGACAAACAACTGGAGGAAGGCTGTGCTGTGGATTAAGCCTGTCGCACTGAATTTGGAGGAAAGCAAAAGAAGACATGGATCAGAGACGGAGCTGTGGGGAATGGCAACGAGAGGACTAGACTTTTATTTTTATTTTTCTCTCCCCATCATGAAGCTGAAGAAAGTGGAGAGGCTCTGCAGGGAGGTGTGGAGGAGCTGCCAGCAGGTCTGGTAATATAAAACAATACCTGTGTGCAGTGAGAAACCCATCAAGAGGGGATATTTAAACTTTTCCATCCAAATAGGAGACATTGGTCCTCATGCAAGAACCGTTCGTACACACAGATTTGTTCTTAAGTTGTGCGTACAGGTGATTTAGGAGAATTTGTGGCATTCATCAATGTTTTCTTATTCTAAGATTTTCTTCAGATACGAACAAAATTCACGAGTGGTCCAGACCTGTCGTATATTTTACGAGCAGTCAGTCTGCTGTTATCCAGACGGATTTTTTTCACTAAGAACTTTATATTTCGTTATTTAGAAAATATTTTTGAGTTGAAAATAAATCACACTTCATAATTATGTTGACAATAGGTTATTCTGCGGTGCGCAACCACTCTTCTTCTGAATAAAAAAAAACTATGTAAGACAGGTGTTTACACTTAAATTAAAAATATTTAACCAAAGAAAAACCGGAGCTGGACTAGAGACAGATGAATATGATTTAGATTTTTGTTTCTGTGACTGTAACGACCCACAGGAGACACGGCATTAACAGCACATTTCATTCCTTTAAGCAGCTCCTTTAATTCCACATCTGACACTGCTAAAAGGGACAGATTTTCTTTTCTCAATCTCGGAGAGCAGGATACAATCTCCGATCTCGTAAAGTTCTTCTTTTTTACTTTGCGATGTCATTCATGAATGGTCACTTCCTGGTATGTGGGGCAGGAAACGTATATCCTTATATGGTGCTTTTGGGGTGGTAATTATGTAAATAACCTCTCCGTGTGCACAAGCAGCTGGATACGAACAGGTGGAATTCATCATATTTACACAGCTCATTTACACGCTTTTCCTGAAGCTAGAAGAGTTTGTTGAATCTGACGTGGCATGTTCGTATGAACTTTTTGTACGAACAAAAGTAAGAAAAATTTAGGATAAGAATACGAACATGTTCTTGCATGAGGCCCAATAAAACTAATATTAATCATAAAAACTAAAATAAGTGATAAAGGTACAGCAGGGTTTGTGATGAGATAGATAAACAAGGAAATATAATCAAGTTGTTTCCTTTAAAATTCAAAACTGCGGTAAATCATGTCTATTATGCCACCTTTGTACCAGTTGGATGGAAACAGTGCAGCTCCCTCTCTAAATATAAGATATATTTCTGGTTGTATATTCCATGACACAGGATCTTGTGACTGGACACCAATGCGTTCAGTCAAAGAGATGTTTTGTGTCGTTTCCATGAATCATATAGCTTGTCATTGTAGCTGCATGTCAGGAGTGATGTAGAGTGCTGTGGTCTGTAATCATCAACAGCTGAGGTCATTTGCTGCTGAAACCATTGAGGGGCTGCAAGAGTGAGAAAGTTAGATGTTAATGAAGAAGTAAAGCTAACCTGCCTTTTAAAATAAAAATAAAAAACAACAAGCAGCAGATGGTTTGTATTGTTCAGACTGGACAAGACAAACATTCTGGTTTGATGTTATCAGTCTCTCTTGCCCACCCATTTCCTTTCTAAACAGAGCAAAACCCCCACTGAAGTAGTAGCATATTTTATTTATACTTTTTCATTTACTTGTCACAGCAACTTTTGTTTTTGGTATTTCTTACATTCATTTTTGCTTGCACTAAAACTTTTTCAACTGCTGTCTGTAGTTTTCCTCATGCAGTAACCTTTTTTTTACAAAATGTATTTTAATATAAATCTTTTAACCATTTAAATGGCTTTTGTGTTAGTTATTAATTATGCAGTGCAATAATCTTTTAATTGTGAACTCCATTCAGCTCACTACTTGTATATTTATTAAAATAACATTTTTCTTTTGTTTCGATTTTGGGTTTTTCAGCTTTTTATGTTGCAGAGTTTCTTTGAATCTTTGACCAAAACAAACATGAGATGGATTGTGTTTTGTTTTTATACTCACAACAGAAAAGGCTAACTTTAGCAGTTTTCCTCTAAATTTTTCGCAAATATGCGTTCAATACTACTAATACAAGGAGTTAAACATGTTGATCATGCTAGTAGTTTGTTGACTACTATAATAATCCAAATTTATTCTGTAAAACTTTATTTTTAAGTTCTTTATTTTCACAAATATTTTTTTTATTTCTGTAATTTTTAACCTTTCTATTCACAAGTCAAAAACACCGAAACAAAAACAGAATTAATACAGAAAATAAATAATGAACAATCTTTGAATTCTTGTCAAATGCAAGAGCACAAGGTATAGACTGAGAAAATCTCCAGTGAAATCAAACCTTGCTTTATTTGTATAGCTAATGAGTTTTATACATTGTTTTAAATTTATGAGTGAAAAACACATTTTTAATTCTTCACCCAACTTCCATCCTTAAATGTTTTTTTTCTCTCACATATCATGATTGTTTTTATCATTTTTATTTATTTGTTTATTGGGGAAACCTTTAAGAATAGATTGGATAAGAATTAAAAAGAAAAACACACAACATGTTTCAGTGTTTTAGAATTTATTAAATTTAGTATAAACTATATATTTTTTGCTTTTTTACATAAAAATAGTCTTTTTTATGTCCTAAAGTGTAAAAGGAATAATAAATGTTAAAAGTCACTATATATTTTTAGTTTTATAATGTCACTCTCACTGGACAGAAAACCCCGCCCCTTCAACAAACTCAGCTTGGCCCACGGACCACTAGTTGATCACAGTTGTAGCCCGTTTCACTGCTCCTGGCACTTTTTTTTAGTGAGTCAAATACAGAAATGGCTTTTTTCACTTTAAATGCATCAGACTCCTGGTTTAACGTAAAACATAAATTCATTTTAGAAGCTTTCCTGTGATTCTTGGATTTGTTATTTATTTTTAAGTGACGTCTTTTGAATAGTTTTGGAACCCCAGCTGCCCTCTGTGTCTGATTTAAACCTTTCATCACATCCTCACATGTATCCTGCAGCCTCCCCGTGAACACTGACCTCCAATCAGACACTGATTCTTTTGTGTTTGAGCCTGCACTCATGCTGATTTGGGTCACGCTGCAGCATCAAGAGACCTAGTTAAGAATTTCACTGCTCTGAGACAAACTGGCACATTTTCAGCAGCGCCCTGTGAACCCTATCACTTTATTCAAGGCCCTTTTTTAAAATTGTGTTGCGTTCTTCTCTGCTCAAAAGAGACTTTGTTTTCCTCTGTGTGTGTAGCCGTTGCATGCAGAAATAAAGTGAATCAATCATCTCGTTGAAGCTGACACAGTACAGTCTATTTTATCAGAGGAGGCAGCAGCGGTTGTCTTGATTTAATCGGTAGAAAAGTTGCTGGAGTTTATCTTTTACCTGTTTGGGCCAGTATGCAAAGTGAATGGATTGTGACATCTTTTGTTTGTTTGTTTTTAATCTCTACATTCCATACCTCTTCAAAAAAAAAGCTCAAGCTGTTCTTGAATTAAATATGTACAACCAGTCAGTTTTCACAAGCCTGACTAATTTGCTCCTCCGTCTTTTGCAGTTGGACCAGCTGGTGGTTGACGCTGCCAAAGAGAAGAGGGACATGGAGCAGAAGCACTCAACCATTCAGCAGAAGGTGCACAAAAGTGTCTTTGGGTTTTAAAGGAATGTGTTGAAAATGCATCCAAATAAAAAAAGATAAAGAAATAGCACTTAGCACACAATTCATAGTATAATTAGCAGCACAAAAGCAAAAATAGCAGCTTGTTTTCTCTGAGCTTGCACTCATTTTGTTAGTTGTTGTGATAAAACGTTCTAGTGACACAAAGACAGCTAGTTTCTGTTTATAACTACAGTTATATCCAGGAGTTAGTGGGCTTTAAAAATAAGTCAGGTCTAAATACACTGTCTGGCCAAAAAATGTCACCACCAAAAAAAAAAAAAGGTCACACACACTAATATTTCGTTGGACCACTTTAGCTTTGATTATGGCACACATTCGCTGTGACATTGGGCCTCATGCAAGAACATGTTCGTATTCTTATCCTAAATTTCTCTTACTTTTGTTTGTACGAAGGGTTCGTACGAACATGTCACGTCAGATTTAACAAACTCTTCTATCTTCAGGAAAAGTGTGTAAATGAGCTGCGCAAACTGATGAATGCGTATCAGGTGCTCGTGCACGGGGAGAGGTGATTTACATAATTACCACCCCAAAAACATCATAAGGATATACGTTTCCTGCTACACATTGTAGGAAGAGTCCATTCATAAATGACATCGCAAAGTAAAAAAGAAGAACTTTATGAGTTCAGAGAGTGAAGTTCTGCTCTCAGAGACACCAAAAAAAATAAATAAATAAAATGTCATTTTTAGCAGCGTCAGCTGTGGAATTAAAGGATCTGCTTTAAAGCCGAGGAATGAAAAGACGACTGCTGTTAACGTCGTGTCTCCCGTTGGTCGTACAGTCACAGAAATAAAAATCTAAATCATATTCATCTCTCTGTAGTCCTGCTCCGGTTTTTCTTTGGTCAAATTTTTAATTTCAGTGTAAACAACTGTGTTACACAGGTTTCACTTATTCAGAGGAACAGTTGCGCACCGTAAACCCCCCTACCTCCCGACCGTCGCAAATGTCAGAGGCGTTTCTGAAAAAAAGCATTTTAAAATCTCTCAAAACTTCAATTAACTTCATATTAATATTGTAGTTCTATACAACAAAATTAATATCCAATTTATTTCAATCTATTGAAATCTATCTATCTTATTAACCAATTTATGTCATTAGTCTAAATTATTACATTTAAAATTGGAGTTCTATTTCAAACAGAATAGCCTCTTGTCAACATAATTATGGAGTATGATTTATTTTCAACTCGAAATATCTTCAAACTAATGAAATATAAAGTTATATAATGAAGAAAACCCATCTGGATAACAGCAGACTGACTGCTCGTAAAATATACGACAGGTCTGGACCACACATGAATTTTGTTCATATCTGAAGAAAATCTTACGAGAAAATTGGTGAATGCCACAAATTCTCCTAAATCACTCATACGCAGAACTTAAGAACAAATCTGTGCGTACGAACGGTTCTTGCATGAGGCCCATTGTTTCTATAAGTTTCTGCAATGTCACCAGATTTATTTCCACCCAGTGTTGCATTCATTTTTCACCAAGATCTTTCACTGATAATGGTAGAGTCTGACCGCTGCACAAAGCCTTCTCCAGCACATCCCAAAGATTCTCAATGGACTCTGTGGAGCCAATCCATGTGTGAAAATGATGTCTCATGCTCCCTGAACCACTCTTTCCAGCATGATGAATCCTGTCATTGTCATCTTGGAATATGGCCGAGCCATCAGGGAAGAAACAATCCATTGATGGAATAACCTGCTCATTCAGTATATTCAGGTAGTCAGCCTACACCTAAACCTAGACCTGACAAACTGCAGCAACCCCACATCACAGATCTTAGTTAAACCAGGTTGTGACTTATTTTTTGGCCAGGCAGTGTAGTGGTTGAAGTGAAGGGAGGCAGTACTCTCAACGCCCTGTACTACGATGCAAGATTAGTGGCTTATCGAGGGAACTTCAGGTTCAGTCTCAAAGCTGATTTACTTTTTACCTGGTCTGTCACTTCCTCAACTAATGCTGATTACTGGATTAGAGGACGTAGCCTCTCTACCAATCCCCCGACCCCCCGGCCTGCTTTCCTTCCAGCTTCATAACTGTGATTGTTGCTCTGATGCAGCTCCAGCTGCCCTACATGAACGCACAGAAGCCCTGAGTTGATATCCAGCTTGGTAGTACCTCTGAACCTGATTCCTCATTGATAGCTGAAGCCAGAGTCGGTTGAACTTCGTAGTACGGGGGCGCAGGTGTAAGGTGAGCCCGCAGGATGATCTCAGCTACACACTCATGCATTATTAACCGCTGGCGGGAACACATTTCCAAAACAAACCAGGTTCAGTTTCAGCACACTTCCATATCTGTTCAGCCGCTCTGTCGGCTTGAATTTCCTCCCTGGTTTCAACAAATCTTCTGATTCCATTTAGCAGTTAACAGTTTGTATTTTAGTGGTGGTCTTAATCCTGAGGCTGCAGGTTCAAGGCCAGGCTGTGAGGTGGTGTTATGGATTATTCTGCAGCGTGTGTGGATTTTTTATTTGTAACTTTATTTGTACTTCACATCATGTGTCAGTTCTTCCCCCAGCTGTGCCCGTTGGATTTGTTGGTTTTGGTCTCCTGCGACGTTCGTTTTGTTTTCTATCTTTCTGTCTCCTATACGTGCATTTTTCTTTTTAATCCAGTCCTCTCATTTCCCTCTAGTTCAGTCAGTTATGGTATGTGTGCCAGCTGTCCTTCAGCGCCTCCCTCAGTTTAGCTTGAGGCTGACACTTTTAACTAACCTTCTTCTCTTTTCCTCTGTTTGTGATCTGTTCATTCATCTTTCCCTCCGCTCACCTCAGGCTGCCCTGCAGGTAAGCTGTGCTTCTTTTCCTTCATTCCTTCACTGTCGCTTCACTGTAACGTCTACATGAATGTACTGTACCCTCAGCCGGCCAAGGTCGGGCCTCATTTCTGCTGCTCACATCACTTTAAAGACTGCAGAAAGCTGAATAAGCACAAGATTAAAAGAGCAGCAGACATGATTTGATTACACGCATGCTCCTGTGCATGTTCTTAGCATTTACAACAGATGTTTGGACTAAGTTAACTGTTTTCACATGATGATGGATCTTCTGAAATGATGTTAGGCTCGAGATAAATGAGAGATTTATCTTTTTGTGGCAGTTTATTAAATGCCTGAAGCAGGTCACAAGTTCAACGGTACAAAGAATCTGAAGAAGTTGTGGTGGAAGTGAAATGCAAAACCAGCAGTATGTATCTTCATAGGCTTAGGATTTGTGCAGACCCATGAGCCAATCAGCTTCCAGGAAGCACTGGCAATCAGAACGTGCACAAACCCAGACCCAGTCGACTCAGAAAGGCTTCATGAGAAATATTTGCTTGATTGCCCAGTCGCCATAACACATGCGACCCATCACATCAAATTTGGTCAAAATGACCCGAGCACATTTTCAGATTCCTTTTTCTTTTTAAAACTGCATTTTGATACCTGGATCCTAATCAGGATATTCCACTGATATTTGGTCTGAATCCTATTTTTAGGTTATTCTAACGAGGAATTTTTTTTATGTCATTTTAAAGAGGAAGCCTCAGTATCTGGATGTTAAGATTTACCAGCTGGAAAGAAAATAATAAGCTTTGCAAGCTCGCTGGGAACAGGACAAATTTATTTAATTTCATTCATAAAAAACAACAAAAAGTTCATTAAAAAACAAAGTAAATCACTCATTGAATGAAAAAGATGCACGAAGAAGAATCTAAAGCTGTTTTTTGTAGCTCTTGCTGAAAAAAAGGGCTACAAATCATTTTTCATGATTTATATTTCAAATTTAAATGATCCGTAGAGAAGTTATTTATTCATTATATTTTGACAAAATGCAAACGTTTTAACCAATTCACTATAGCTGCTATTTCTCTCCACTTTGAGGATTAATCCTCAGTTTGATGTGATGAGTCACATATAGAGCTTATAATTCAGTCAAAACGAAATGCTGCGATACATTTTTCAACCACAAATGCTGTTATTTTTACAATCAGTTATAACATGATAGAACTTTGCGTCCATAGTCTTACTGTACATGACTTTAGATGGTTTATTCATGCTCAGGCAGGTTGTTACTCACAGATGATAATCAGTCGAGTTTTGATCTTATTTGGAGCAAGTAGAAGCGTCCTTATCACCTACATTTTATGTAATCTTGTTGTTTCTAGTTTAAAAAAATCAGAAGAATGCAGTTGTAAATAGCCCTCATACTATTTTCAGTACAAGAATGTTTCTGGAGCATTTCAAAAGAACAAAAGAATCATTTTTGCTGTTAAAATATCAGATTTTTGACCTTGATAGTCACGTTTTCTTTTTATTAATCAAGGTTTTATTCAGATTGACGACATTAGCTGTTTGCCATTTTGTTGTCGTGTGAATAATTGGTGTTGTCATTCTGCCAATGAAACCTTTCATCCTCACGGGAGCTAAAGGGTCCCAAGGTTGTGTTTAGTATGCTCTCTCTCTGCCTGTGTGCATTATTCAGCAGAAACACTGAGACAACGGAGCAGGACGGAGTCACGGTGTCAGGATCAGAGTCTGCACATTTTCAGTACGTTGGAGCTGAGTTAAAGGACGAAGCAGAGCGCGCGACCGTTCAACCGAAATACTTTAGGAATTTTTTATGGTCAAGCTCCTCTTTGTGGTCCACCTAATTATTCGAACCCCAGAGTCAAACCAGCATCTCGCACACACGCACACTGGGTAACCTCTGCTTCGAGGTCCTCTCTTGAGGAGGAGCAGCTGAGGCTGTGACGAGTGTTGTGATGGACTCGGTCGCAGGAGACACGGAGGTGAGGGTATGTGAGAGAGACGAGCCACGCTGCTTCTAGTGACTCCAGTCACTGAGAGGCTCCACAGAGAGGGTTTGAGACCGACCGTCTATCGGCCCCGCGGGGAACACACACGTTCCTGTTAGCCGCCGAGAAAAGGCTGAGACAAATGAAGATTTTCAGCCGTTTTCATTATGTTTGGTATCTGGTGAGTGCATCCCATAGGAGATTAGAGATGTCTGTATGCTGTAGTGCATGTGACCGTGTCTCTGTGTCCATTTCTGCTTGTGGTGAGCATTTTGGTTTTGCTTCATGAGTTTTTTCCTTCTTTGAACAGTTAAATCCATGACAGAATCATTTCTTTTTCAGCACAAACTTGCTTTCTCTCTGTGTGGTTCTCTTGCTGTTTGTGACGTTTTAGGAGGTGACAGATGTTGACATTTTACCAGACTTCCGCAACTTTTGTGCCTGGAGGTCGACCTCCGTACGTAGTCGATGCATTGATTTCCATCTGACCCGTGTGTTGTAACCCCAGTCTCCTCAGTCCTTCATCTCGTCTTCAGAACATGATGAAGATGATCGCACTGCAGTGTTTGTGGAGACTGTCTGCTGCCTCATAAACACACGCATCAGTGCTAATGTTTTGATATTGAAGCATGTAACATTTTGGTGCCTTTTTTGTCATCGATGTCCAGTACAAGAAATGTGCCTTGCTGGTTTGATGTCAGTGTTTTGATGCTTTGCTGTCTTTTGTCGTAATTTATCTCATTGAACTGTAATTGTTCACATTTCCCTGTGTGTCTAAAGTGCTTTGAAACTAAAGTTGACAGCTGTTTTTTATAGTTTTACTTTGTTTTTATGTCTTTGTCAGCAGTTATTATGGGTTTCTTTACCAAAGGGTCTCAAAAAGAGGGGAAACAAATGCTTTTTTTTTTCAAACAAGAGAATCAGAAAGGTTTTTGTTAATGTTAACAGTTATGTAGAAGTTTTGGATTTATGATCAGCATGGAGTGAATGCACATGTGCATGCCATGTGTCAGTTTTCTGTTGTTTTTTATGTGGCTTTTCACTTTCTCTGTTTAATCCAGAAAATAAAACATTGATGTGATACAGCCACATTTGTTTCAGCTGTGCAACCAAAAAAAAACCGTGGATGTTCGGTGTTACGTTGGGAAATTGTGTGTATGTGTGCACATTAATCCACAGTTAGAGGGGGAAAAAGAATATGTTAACTTGGTTGTCTTTTTTCTCTCTCTCTGATTAGATTTAGAGATTCTAGCAGTGAGAGGCAGGCTCAGACAGACAACAGTCAGTAATGCTCCAGATCAAATAGAGATACTGGGAGGCCACGATGAAGCACAAAGGGGTATAATCCTGCTTGAAACTGTCTGAGAATACGTTCAGTGTAGATTAACAGTCTAATAAGTGAAAGAAAAAGACGTCCTGTATGAGCCGAGTACAAGTCATGACATGAGTTTATAAGAAGCTTGTTTGTGTTTAGCATATTGCTGTCCAGGAAACAAACAGGAAGTGGTGCTCATTGTCACCCCCCTCTGCTGAATCTCTGAGGTCATTTCCATTCAGCAAACAAAACGATCATCATGGAGATATTTTTATTTCAAAGTCTCCTGTAGAATTATCATTTGTTTGAGGTTTTTGTTACGGCCCAAAGACTCATGGGAACAGACCATATTTAGTAGGGGTGCAATAATACATGTATCTATAACCGTTCAATACACACTATGTATGTAATGATACAGATTTTTAAAAATTATTTTATCAACTTGTCTTCTGAAGTTGCGTTGTGTTGAAGGATCAGTGGATCTGTGTTCAACTACTCCACCAAAGCTTTGTTGTGGAGCACAGATCAACTGAGAAACTTGCTGTTTCAGCAACATTTAATTTAAAAACTGTACTTTTGAGGTTAAACAAACGTTCATAATTAATTTCAGTAAATTACAGGTTAAGAAGGGCATGGAAATGTCTCTTTTTTTGTATTGAAAACATATCCAACCGTGACACTAAAGTATCGAACCGAATCAAGAAGTTTCTGTCTCGTTGCACCCCTAATATTTAGGTATCTTGAAGTGAGTTTGAAAAAGTTATTTTTTTTTGGATGTTTCTGGAACAACAACATCGGAACAGAAACCGATCCGGCTGCGTCGAGCTGTAATTGCTCGTGGAGATGCTGACGTTTGGTGTAAAGTGACTCCACTAAGACTCGGGCGCTGGCAGATCACGGTGGGTAAAGTCAGTTGACGGTGAGGCGGCTCTGAGTGTAGTTACAGCTCCACTTATATAAGGGATGGTCCCATGACGGCACATGGGGTTGAGTTGCAGCAAAACTGCAGCGTCATTGAGAGGAAGGATGCGTTGTATGTCTGTAACGTGACTATTCTTGATACAAACCACAAATACACACGTGGGGTAAAGACCAATATATTGAATCCTCTTATCTTAGTATTTTTAGATTATCACAAGTTTTGTCTTATTCAAAATGTTTAATGTCTTTTTTTTCTCTCTTTTTCTCTTTCCTGTCATGAATATCAGGATTTCTCAAACGATGACACCAAACTGGAATACAATGTGGACGCTGATAATGGCATCGCCATGGAAGGATATCTGTTTAAGAGGGCGAGTAACGCCTTCAAGACATGGAACAGGTATTGCTGTTTAATCCAAACCTTTACAGTAGTTTGTTACAACTTGGGGAGGTTAGGTGATTTAAAACAGTACTATCGTGACAATGAAAACAGAATATATTTGATTTTTACAGTGATTTGTTTAAGTTTGGCTTCTTTGTGTTATGTCTGATAGCAAAATAAGTTGATTACATAATTGTGGAGTGGAGTGATGCAAGTGAAGGTGACATCGTTACAAAAAATGTTTCCAGTCACAGTGCTGTATTTAGCATTTTGTTTAGAAAAACAACATAGTAAAACAGTTCTTATCATAATTAACAGAGTTCTCCAACTCTTTTTTGCATATTCTTGTCCACAAACAGACACATTTTGGTGATTACATCCTTCCACCTCTCTTTTTGGTTGTTTAAGTATCTAAACCGGGGTTTTCCACACTGTGACCCCCCTAACAGCATTAGCTTCTGGCCAGGGAACCCCCTTGCAAACCCACAAACAATGCTATAAAAATATAAAGAAACATCAACCTTTAGATTGTTTATTTCTCATTTTTAATCACTATTAAATAATTATTACCATTGTTTAGCATAAGAATTGTATTAATGAATGTTTTAAACATTGTATTATATTCCTACTGAAAAAGCAACTTTTCAACAAACTGTTAAGAACAGAACAAAATTAATCAAACCTCTCTCTTAAATAACGTTTCAATATATTAAAACAATAAAACAAAAAACTGAAACGTTTATTAGATTTAATAAAAAAAAATTCTGTCTCATCTTCCCTCCAGCTTTCTGATGCCCCTCTGGCGGCCCCCACTTTGAAAAACACTGAACCAAACAATAACAAATAAAGTTCAACAGTTGCTTCTACATTTCTTTATAACTTGTTAAATTCAGTCAAATCTTACTTTCTCAGTTTCTTATCTGGCAAATTAACCGACCGACTGGTGTGTGTGTGTGTGTGTGTGTGTGTGTGTGTGTGTGTATATATATATATATATATATATATATATATATATATATATACACTCACCGGCCACTTTATTAGGTACACCACGCTAGTAACGGGTTGGACCCACTTTTGCCTTCAGAACTGCCTCAATTCTTCGTGGCATAGATTCAACAAGGTGCTGGAAGCATTCCTCAGAGATTTTGGTCCATATTGACATGATGGCATCACACAGTTGCCGCAGATTTGTCGGCTGCACATCCATGATGCGAATCTCCTGTTCCACCACATCCCAAAGATGTTCTATTGGATTGAGATCTGGTGACTGTGGAGGCCATTTGAGTACAGTGAACTCATTGTCATGTTCAAGAAACCAGTCTGAGATGATTCCAGCTTTATGACATGGCGCATTATCCTGCTGAAAGTAGCCATCAGATGTTGGGTACATTGTGGTCATAAAGGGATGGACATGGTCAGCAACAATACTCAGGTAGGCTGTGGCATTGCAACGATGCTCAATTGGTACCAAGGGGCCCAAAGAGAGCCAAGAAAAGACTCCCCACACCATGACACCACCACCACCAGCCTGAACCGTTGATACAAGGCAGGATGGATCCATGCTTTCATGTTGTTGACGCCAAATTCTGACCCTACCATCCGAATGTCGCAGCAGAAATCGAAACTCATCAGACCAGGCAACGTTTTTCCAATCTTCTCTTGTCCAATTTCGATGAGCTTGTGCAAATTGTAGCCTCAGTTTCCTGTTCTTAGCTGAAAGGAGTGGCACCCGGTGTGGTCTTCTGCTGCTAAAGCCCATCTGCCTCAAAGTTCGACGTACTGTGCGTTCAGAGATGCTCTTCTGCCTACCTTGGTTGTAACGGGTGGTTATTTGAGTCACTGTTGCCTTTCTATCAGCTCGAACCAGTCTGCCCATTCTCCTCTGACCTCTGGCATCAACAAGGCATTTCYGCCCACAGGACTGCCGCTCACTGGATGTTTTTTCTTTTTTGGACCATTCTCTGTAAACCCTAGAGATGGTTGTGCGTGAAAATCCCAGTAGATCAGCAGTTTCTGAAATACTCAGACCAGCCCTTCTGGCACCAACAACCATGCCACGTTCAAAGGCACTCAAATCACCTTTCTTCCCCATACTGATACTCAGTTTGAACTGCAGGAGATTGTCTTGACCATGTCTACATGCCTAAATGCACTGAGTTGCCGCCATGTGATTGGCTGATTAGAAATTAAGTGTTAACGAGCAGTTGGACAGGTGTACCTAATAAAGTGGCCGGTGAGTGTATATTTATATATATATACACACACACACACACAATCATTCTTCACACAATATTTCTTTTCTTGAACGTGACTGACTCAGAGTTCAGAGGTTTGCCTACAGTTACCTTTGTGAAAACTCCCGTACAGAGAAATCGTTGTCTTTATCAGCTTCTAATAAATTATTCACATCAAAAGGATATCAGAGCGAGTTGTTTCAGCTGTGTGAGAACGGTCCTTTCCTCACAAACTTGTGATCTCCTTTCAGACGTTGGTTCTCCATCCAAAACAATCAGCTAGTTTACCAGAAGAAATTTAAGGTATGTCAAGTGACTCTCCCACCAACCACATAGAAATATGCTGCTTTTTCACTTCCTTCACAAATATCCTTCCATGTAATTTTAACTCTGCCACAGTTGTAGTCGAAGGAAATGTTGTAAACGGTTGTGTTGTGTGCAGAAAAACCACTGCTTTCTTGCAAAGATGGGTTCATGTGCTGTTCTTGGAGTGAAATGCATCTGTTGTATTAAAAAAAAACACACATTTGGATCTTTTTTTAATCCCCTGAAGTGTTTGTGCTACATTTATGAAGCAGTGGCACAAAAACATCATGTGAGTTTCTTACAGTTTGCATTTACAGCAGACCAAAAAAAAAAAGACAAGAAAATAACTGAAAAGAGGTCAAGAAATCTCTATAAAAAATTACAATTTTTTTTGTGTATAAGTGATTTTAGACACTGTTGTGGCAAAGAGCTGATATAACCACCTAAACTAACCTTTTTATCAACAGTTTAAAGTTTTCTATACATTCATGTTTAAATAATTACTGTAGTTTTTGATGGAAATAAACTAAAGACTGTTATAAAACAAGTGGATACATTTTAGCGTTCTGAATCTTGTTTTGTGTGCTTCTTCCTTCAGCTGTCAGATAGTTTTGAAAAGCTTTATTACGGCAGGTTGAGACAATAAATTAACTAAGTAATTTGATACATGCTGATTTTTCTTTTACTTATCGTTTACATTTTTAATATCTCTTTCTAAGTTTATTCCATTTTAATGATTTGAGTTTTTGGGATATTACAGGATTTTTGTTTTTATTTTTCCAAGAAGTGTCACATTTTGCCGTCTTTGTTTGAAGCATACAGAAACCAAAATCGGACCACTGTCCAACATTGACTACATGTTTTACAGGAAATGCTTGTAGTTTGATACAATAATCTGAAATTATAAAGCTGCACAATATATGGCGAATATTATTGTCTCAACAACATTAGTGTGCGCAATATTTATATCACAAAAGACTGCTTGCAGTGCAATAATTGCTGACTAATGTATTTGAAGAGTTTTGTTGTATTTTTCATGCTAATGCATTATTTAAGCAGTAGGACGGAGTCTCACAGCAGCAACAGCCGTGCTAAAGGTCACAGAGAGTTGGAGTAGTATGTACAGATTAGAAAGTGAGGAGAGAGGAAGAAAAGTATATATATATTTTAATTGTTAGCTTGGAATGGTTTTGAATTTAGTTGTGAAGAATGTGCCTGTTCTGTGTTTGATAAAAGAGCCTCTGCTGTTCCCTCAGGACAACCCGACAGTAGTGGTGGAAGACCTGAGACTATGCACAGTCAAACACTGCGAGGACATCGAGCGTCGCTTCTGTTTTGAAGTAGTTTCACCCACAAAGTGAGTTTTCTGAAGCCGGAAATAAAAGATGGAAGTAGCAGTGTATCCAGCAGAGAGACGGACACACACTCTCTTTAAGCTGACAGCTGCTGTGTGATGTGTGTGTGTGCCCCTGCAGGAGCTGCATGATGCAGGCAGACTCAGAGAAGCTGCGACAGGCTTGGATCAAAGCCGTCCAGAACAGCATTGCCACCGCCTTCCGCGACAAGGGAGAGGATGGAGAGGTAAAACCCCAACGAGTCAGTGTGGCAGCTGACTTATTCAAATATTATATTCAGTAACTTTACTTTGAGGTACCAGTAAAAAGAAAAATGTGGGTTTTCTAGTGTATCTGTCCCCATCAGTGCTTCTCCAACAACACTCAAGTCATTTTATCTTGTTTGATAAAGTCTCTATTATCGTTTTCTTCCTCGTGTCAGAAGCTGGACAGGAAGTCCTCCACATCAACGGGGAGTCTGGACTCCGGAGGGGAGCCGAAGGAGAGGTCACTGAAAGGAGAGAGCGCCTTGCAGAAGGTCCTGGCTATTCCCGGCAACTCCTGCTGCTGCGACTGCGGTCAGCCGGATCCCCGCTGGGCCAGCATCAACCTGGGCATCACCCTCTGTATACAATGCTCCGGCATTCACAGGTACAAGACTGCAGCTTTCACTAAGCTCCAAAAAATAAAACGTCACAAAGGATAATTGACAAAGTGTTAAACTGAAGGTAATTAGGATTACAAATAAATTACAAAATAAAATTAATAAAGTGAACACTTTTGTTTAGCTTTCCAACGTTTTGAAACACAGTTCATGTTGAGTTTGATTCAACGTTATGAAAGCTAGAAATACTTAAATTATCTTTGCTTTTGTTTGCTTTATTAAAACCTCATGGTGTGAAAAGCTTCTTTGCAGACTTGGTCTTTGGGGAATTCTGAAATGAAAAGTCACTGTTATGTAAACTCCCCGTCTGTTTGGGATCCTCTGACCTCTTTGATTACTTTTCAGAGTAAAGTTAATTAAAGTTTATTCAGGTTAAAAGTGACCGGGTCAGTTCTCACGCTCTGAGTTTAAACCAGTAATCATCAGGCAAGATCCAGGCCTCTGATTTACTTTTTAATAAGCAGGATGGCTTTAGTGGCATTTAAAATTTAGATAACCTGTGTACTGTCCTAAAGTTTGTAGTACTTTCACAGAACGTATAGGAATTAACTTTGCATGGAGAATACAGTAAAAACTAATAATGTAAAACAAGTAACAAAAGCTTTTATTGTGAACATATGCCTGAATAAATTATTACATAATTCATGCGTTGCTTTAAATTTTATTAAACCGGCCAATGAAATGTGAATTTTTTTCTAAATATTTCTGTTTTATTTCTGTTTAGTTTGTTATTCCATCACTACTTAATAATGACTAAAACTATCCTGAGTTTTAGTCAAAATAGTTTCTACTCACCTGTAGAAAACCTGTCAGATAAATCCAACAGAAATGTTGTTATTGAGATGAATCTTTTTTCTTCGTGTCTTGTTCTGTAAATTTTGGGTCATCTCAACAATTCATGTATCAAAGCTTTCAGCTACTTCAGGACATTGTGGCTCTGACTCTTGGTATTTGAGTAATATATATTTTTCTAGATTAAGATTTATTTAGCCATTTTTATTCTCATGAAAATTAATGAAGCCATCTTCAGCATTCTTAAAATAGTTAAACCTTTCCTGCACTTTTCACCCTTTTTCTGGTTCTGGTGTCTTTAACTTCTTTGTGCTAACTTTAGTCGCCTTCAGCTTCTTTTGCTTTTTTCAGTTTTTTTCCCCAGCTGTCTTTCTGTACTTTTCAGCTATTTTGATAATCTATTTTTTTCTGCTTCTGTCAGCGGTTTTTGCAATTTTAGCTCCTTTTTAGCTAATTTTAACTTTTCAGCTAATTTTTATTTTTTAAGGTCATTTCACCTTTTATGTGATCTATATTTTTTTCAGCTACTTAATTCAGAAAATGTGCTATTTTTGCTTGTTTGTGCTAGATTAACCGTTTTCAGCTTATCTTAGCTACTTAATTCAGCTTTTTGGGCTATTTAAAAAAATACATTTTTGTAGATCTTTTCTTTTATCCTGTAAAAAATCTTTCAGCATTAAGCATTCACGCTGCATTTTTATTTTTAGAAAATGCAAATTTCTAGTTAAAGCTGTTTTCATCATTAATAGTTTAATGGTGGAGTTTCATGGATATAGTTTAAGTTGTTGTAAGTTTTGTTTTGTTTTTCCTGCACCTTTTTTCATTCAGTAATTGTTTCACTTTGTTTTGTGTTTTTAATGGACTTTTTGTTTTTATGAATGAGATAAAATGAATGAATAAAAAAATGGTACTAGCTGTTCATCTTATGGTGCGTTCACACCGAACGCGATTTCAGCGTCAGGAGCAGCAGGTTTACATACAAAGTCTATGGTGGACGCGCTTCAAGCAAAGTCGGGAAGTGCTGCGGCGCCTCAAGCGCGATTAGAGCAGCGCAATTTGAATGATTTGAACGATTTGAGCGTTGAGGCAACAAATAGCTGAAGTTGGAAAATCTGAACTTTTGCAGCTCGAYGCGCMGCRTCAACCAATCAGAGAGACTCCACTGTGTGACGTAGCGACATATTTCCCGACGGGACAGTTTACTGAATGATGTCCACTAACCTGAAACAGATGGAGAGGAGCTCTTTAGCTGAAATGAGTGCCTGCAGTCGGTGTCCTGACAGGAGATATCTGCACCAATGCGTGGCAGCGGCTCATCAGACTGGAAAAATAGTCCTGAAAGCGAGCTGTGAGCCTCTACTCTGAATTATCTGGTGAATTAATTATGAATTAATTATCTGATGAACGTGACATGCTCTTGCTCTCTGTAAATGAAGCAAAGCCACTTCCTCGTCCGACATTAAACAGAGCCCGACAGAGGAGGGAGGGGCGGGGAGGCTCTTGCCGTGCAGCGCTTCAACAGCTGTCCTGCGTCTGACCTCAAAGTGCACGAGCTTCAAACTTCAGCGTTGGCTGCGATTTTGAAGCTGAAATCGCGTTCGGTGTGAACGCAGCATAAAGATGTTTTAGTTCTGGTGTTTCATTTTTGGTTGCAAATCAACGGCTTCGTCGTCAACTATTTTTTGAGGGATTTCTTTTATTTTCATCATAAAAGTGATTGAAGTCACTGTCGAAAAACTGATGTCATGAACTGAACATAAAAAAAACAGTAATGTTTTTTCTCTACAGGAGTTTGGGAGTACATTTCTCCAAAGTTCGATCTTTGACTCTGGATACGTGGGAGCCAGAACTACTCAAAGTGAGTTTTCTGGTTTGTGTTTTAAATTAAAGCGTTTCCTTTCTGAAATGCAATGACGACATGTATTTCTTTTTGCCACGTTGTGCAGTTGATGTGTGAGCTAGGAAACCAAGTGATCAACCAGATCTATGAAGCTCGGCGAGAGGAGCTGGGAGCCAGGAAGCCCCAGCCAGGAGACCCCAGGTACGCAGGGATGAGGAGCTTAAGGTTTTACATGAACATAGTTGTCTGTTGAATCGAACACATTTATTTTTTTTTGACAGACACGAGGTGGAGGCCTACATCAGAGCCAAATATGTGGACCGACGGTTTGTCCGCCGGCCGTCAGACGAGGAGCTTCGAAACAAAGTGGTTTCTCTGAGCAAACAGGAGAAGAGACTGAGCAGCAGCTCTGAGCACCTGCCTCCAAAACCGCCGCCTCCCACACCCAAACTCCAGCCGGGTTCTCACGGGTCAGGGCAGCCAGGTAAGTAATACCCATCTACGCCCTCTGCACCTTCTTCATGGTTTGTTTTTCTACAGATTAGGCTGGTTTTAAACATTGAACAATACTGGAACGTTTATTTTATGCTTCTTCAAACACAAAACTTTGCAGCTTCAAGGCAGAAGAAGAAAAAAAACAAAAAAACGCTGCATGATTAGTAACTGCCACGTGGTATTTGTACTCCATCGACATACTGTGTTCTCTGTGAACAGCATTATGTCCCAACCCTCTTTGCCTCCACATTGCTTTTCGTAGTCTGTCTTTTCCAGTCTTAGCCGAGCCTGTGGTCTAACCATCTGTTCCCTGACCCTGCTTTCTTCTTTCTCCCCTCTTCCACACACTCCTCATTCCTCCCATGGCTGCTCTATGCTTCTGGACTAACCCCCTGCTGCTCATACCGCTGACCTCAAATCTTCCCCGACCATTTTATACACACCTTCCGACCCCGTAATGTCCAAACTCCCGCCATCCCCGGCGTAGCTGCTGCCGGCGGCACGGAGGCCCGCCGCGATTCTCTCTTCTGTCCCGATGAGCTTGACTCGCTCTTCTCCTACTTTGACACCTCCTACAAGCTCAGGAGCAGTAAGTACTAAAACGCTAAGTGCTTTGCTTGCTTTCCCCTCCCCTCTCCTTTTCATTCAAGTGTTCCCCTCTCTGGGGTGGTGGAGTCGCACCGCCTCCCTTCATCCACTTCTTTGTCCCTTCCTCGTCCAGACCTTCTGACAGACCCATGTTCCAGAACATAACATGTTTTATGTTTTCCTGAGATGGAGGCCAGTGTTTCACAGTGTTACACTCACTCATTTGTCTGTTCAGTGTTTGGGATTTACACTTGTATCTGTGTCAGGAGTGGCACTGAAGGTGATGGAGGGGGATCTGTCATCAAGGCCTCTTTCTGTTTATTGTAAACAATAAAATATTAGGAATGCCTTCTGCTTCTAACCAGACCAGAGAAATCTGTACGTCATTAAGAGAACATTTTTAATTAGGTGCTAAAATAGTTTTCCTCAACTTAAATCAGCAGGAAGGCGTTCCTTTTATTTTAAATCCCCCGGGTCGGTAACAGAAACACGTTCTTCTACACGCAGTGATTCAGGTGGTTTTGTTTTCCAGTGAAGAGAGAAGACAGTGGCATTCAGAACAGTGCTGATGGCAGCAGAGAGATGTTGGCCACCACTCCGTCCAGTAACAGCTTGGCAGATACAGGTACGGCTGACATTCGTTTCCTACAAGTACAAAAACTAGAAGAAAACGGCAGAATAGTTGATTTTTTTTTGAAAGGACAATGCACTTTAGTCAGTGTTCCATGAATATAAATGTGCCGTAATTCTTTTAATTATTAACACAATAGCTGAATTTCATCTGTTGTTCTGAACAGATAAAAACTAAAAACAGTTCAGAAAACAAATAAAAGAATGATACACATTTAAAATAGACCTGACGGATTTTCTTCAAGCCAAACTTTATAGCTTGGGTTGACGAGAGAGCGGGTCGGTGATTGCATCATTTCGGACGTCTTTTTCCTGACAGAGCATAAACGAGCTGAAGATACGGCAGGACCTAAATTATCATAACTCCTCCCTCTGCCCTCCCACAGCTCATAAGTATATAAACGATAGTAGGGCTGCTGTAGAAACAGGATGAAGTTGGCCTACGGTAGAAATTTAAYCTCTACAGTCATATCGTCAGTTACGTCATCATACCTGTGTCAGCATGGCTGTGAGTGCAGAGACAACAGAGCAGGAATTTGAAATATAATGAAGAAATTCTAGCATTTTAAAACACGTATTGAGAGAATAAATCCTCAAAATTTCCCCCTCCCGCTGTAGAAAGGTTACRTCAGGATCATCCCCCCCCGACTCTCCCGCCGCCTGTCGCGCAGAGCGAAGCTTTAACAACCATAGTTTTTTCACACCCAATTGTCGGTGTCATGGAAATCTTTATTTCCCCAAGACAGAAACACGTGGTCCAAAAATAAAAAGTACTCAGTGGAATGGTCGTCAGGATTTATTGCAATTGTAAGACACACATCATATCACACAGGGCAGTGGTACATAGAATGTGTGCAACGAGGCAGTGTCAAATWCACTTATTTATACAGAATGTTATCCAAACAGACAATAAACATCTCTCTTGGCGTCGAAGCTGGGCCAAGGACAGAATGATGTTTGATAAACAGCAACAAGAATGATCACTTCTTACAGATATTGTTCTGATCTTAAAACACTATCTGAGAGAAAACAAGATAAAGAGTAAAATCATAAAATATGATGACGTTTTTAGATAAGCAAAAGAGGTCACTGACTCTTGGCCTGAGAAGAATATGGGACTTTAGAGGATAAGTTATTTTTCCAAGACAGTCGGAGAATAAACTTGTTTTTTATGTATTGTTACCAACAGAGATGATAATAAAAGACGTGGACGTTCGTTCAGTCATAAATCCACCTTGCTATTGTAAAGTCGGCTTCTGCTCTGATGATGAACATGAGCGTGCAGCAGAGCAGCTGCTAAGTTCAGCAGGCAGAAGCTCATTGTTTGGCAGGCAGGTATTAAAGCAAAAATACTGGGTTTGATTAAGATTACAGTTTTCTGCAAAAAAAAAAAAAAAGCTCTAAAAATTACATTATCTTTACTTTTTATAATTTTCTACCACAATATATACCGTTACCATGAAGGGATTCAGTTTATACCG